TTTATTTTTATTTTATTTTATTTATTTATTTATGTTTTGGGAATTTGTACGATTTTAAAAGAAAATCACATCAATCAAGTTAGATTCCGTTTTGAATACATCAGAGTATCTTATATACTGGAAATATTAAATTTAATCTATTAGCTTGAAATCAAAACTAAAATAAAAGTTTTAAAATATGTTTTTCATTTTTTATTTTAGAATGCATTTTAAACATAAAATTTGGAGGTATCTAAATATATGTATTTGTTTACGAGAATTGTTTCAGTGAGTATGCGTAAAAATGAATATATATATATATGTGTGTGTGTGTGTGATATCTATAAAGAATTTAAAAGTAAATATGTGTATATTTCTATATATTTTGCTTTTTACATTTTCTATATAATTTATAATAATATACTTCTATATAATATATTTTCTATATAATTTATTATAATATATTTCGATATATTCTTTATGTTATATAAAACTTATAATAATATATTTCTATATATTTTCTATATAATTTATAATATATTTCTATATAAAATATTTTCTATATATTTTATAATATATTTCCATATATTCTATATGTTATATAAAATTTATAATAATATATTTCTATATATTTTCTATATAATTTATAATATATTTCTATATAAAATATTTTCTATATATTTTATAATATATTTCCATATATTCTATATGTTATATAAAATTTATAATAATATATTTCTATATATTTTCTATATAATTTATAATATATTTGTATATGATATATTTTCTATATAATTTGTAATAATATATTTCCATATATACTATATGGTATATAAAATTTATAATAATATATTTCTATATATTTCTATATAATTTTTAATATATTTGTATATGATATATTTTCTATATAATTTATAATAATATATTTCCATATATTCTATGTTATATAAAATTTATAATAATATATTTCTATATATTTTCTATATAATTTATAATATATTTGTATATGATATATTTTCTATATAATTTGTAATAATATATTTCCATATATTCTATATGGTATATAAAATTTATAATAATATATTTCTATATATTTTCTATATAATTTTTAATATATTTGTATATGATATATTTTCTATATAATTTATAATAATATATTTCCATATATTCTATGTTATATAAAATTTATAATAATATATTTCTATGTAATATATTTTCTATATAATTCTAATATATTTCTATATAATATATTTTCTATAAAATTTATAATATATAATCTATACATTTTATATTTTATATATAATTTCTATATTTTTGTGTATATTTTTGCTTGAGTAGTTTGGAAAAGAAAGTGTCATCGAAGTCCGTGAATGGAAGAGGAAAGTAAGTGTAAGAGGGGGAGTGAGTGAGTGAGTGAGTGAGTTAGAGAGAGTGAGTGAGTGAGTGAGTGAGTGAGAGAGAGTGAGTAAGGATGGGAAAACGTTAGAAAGAGAGTGTGAAAGGGAATGATGTAGAGAGCGTGAGTGAGAGTGGCTGTAGGAACGTAGGAGTGATAGAGAGTGAGACAGAGTGTGTGAAATCGGAAGAAAGATAGAGTGAGTGAGAGAGAGAGCGTGAGAGAAAGAGAAAGAGAAAGCGAAAGAGAGAGAGGGGGAAGAGAGAGAAAGTGAGAAGCCCTAGACAAAGAAAACGCTAGAACGCGCTAAATGTATTCAGGCGAACATTTTTCACCGAAAATTAACAATCGTCTTACAAATATAACTACATATACTTACTGATATATGTACACACTCGCACAGACAGACATACACACACACTCTACCTCACACACACACTCTACCTCACACACACACACACATATATCTGTGCGCCCCCGTGTATGTGTGTGTGTGTGTGTGTGTGTGTGTGTGATTGAATTGTTAACAAACTTCAAAACAGTCACCCAATATCATGAACGCTTATGTCAGAACTTTCTAGTCAGACGCCTTTTCTTCGCTGCAGGAAAATTGACCCCACTGCGTCACTATCGTTATTTGGGATGTCTTGCCATAATTTGGTAATAAAATAAGCCGGCGAAAAAAATAACGCTAATAATAATAATAATAATAATAATAATAATAATAATCCTGAGAAGAAGAAGAAGAAGAAGAAGAAGAAGAAGAAGAAGAAGAAGAAGAAGAAGAAGAAGAAGAAAAGAGTGAACGCACGAACTCGGTTAGTATACAAAGAATGAAAATAATAAAGGTGGAATTCAAAGAAAGAACAAAAGAAATATACAGAGAAGAAAGAAAGAAAGAAAGAAAGAAAGAAAGAAAGAAAGAAAGAAAGAAAAAGAAAGAACGATAACAACGCAAGAAGAAGCGAGGGACAATAATAATAATAATAATAATAATGATAATAATAATAATAATAATAAGAAGAAGAAGAAGAAGAAGAAGAAGAAGAAGAAAAAGAAGAAGAAAGGAATTATAAATAAATCCTTTGAAAAAGGAGAAAAAAGGAATTATAAAGAAGAAACAAATTATAAAAAAATCATTTGAAGAAGAAGAAGAAGAAGAAGAAGAAGGGATTCAGAAATAAATCCTTTGAATAATAATAATAATAATAAGAAGAAGAAGAAGAAGAAGAAGGAGAAGAAGAAAAAGAAGAAGAAGAGGAAAAAGAAGAAATGAATGATAAATAAATCCTTGTAAAAAGAAGAAAAAATAAGCAGAAAAGAATTAAAAATAAATCCTTTTAAAAAGCAGAAGAAGAAAAAGAAAATGAAGGGGAAAGAGAAAGGAATTTTTTTAAAATTCTTTGAACAAGAAGAAGAAGAAGAAGAAGAAGAAGAAGAAGAAGAAGAAGAAGATCAACAACAACAACAACAACAACAGGAAAAATTGGAAAAGAAAAAATAATTAATGTCGGTTATAATAATGAGAATGTTTCTGTATTGAAATTTCATTTTCTATGTTCATTTATTTATTGGTTTATTCCTGATTCGCTTTTTTTTCCATCTCTTGTGTAGTTTGTTTCATAGAAACTTTTGATTAGCTGCACTATTCATTCCCCAAAACTGCATGGGTCGTTCTTCCACGGCCGAAATTTTCGATTTCAATTCAAGCCAATCCCGCTCGACTTTATTATCGAAGTACACTATCGGTTTTTACATAAATCTTCGCATGTGCGAATATGCATATATATATATATATATATATATATATATATATATATATATATATATATATATATATATGCATATGTATTATATATATATATATATATATATATATATATATATATATATCATATTCACATATATATATATATATATATATATATATATATATATATATATATATATATAAGAGGGAAATGTGTGCGTGTATAGGAAAGCAATTATACACATAATATAACTATCATATATGAAAGCACATTGCAAAACAAATTATTGTACAGGTTGCGATAGGTAAATAGTTGCGGTTCTATATTTTTTTATTTCACGCATGCGCGTTGTTTGTTTTTGATTTTGTATTCTGCATAATATGGTAGGGTCGGTTGGGTAGTGTCTTTGAGAAATAGAGCAACATGACGCAATTCCCACTGCCGACAAACTGGATGTTTTAGTGCTTGGCATTCGCACCGAAAACTCCAATACGAACATTTCGGAGTGATTGGGTTGTAAACCTTAGGAAAGTGCAGAGGAACTGTAAAGAGTTGGATGGAGATTACGAAAGTACAGAAGCTCGGGAAATTCACTCTGATCATTCTGATGAGAAAAGAACTCCCTAATTTGTTGGTGAGGACTTAACGCGGAGGCCTAGATCAAGAGCCTTGAGGTGGCAATGCTGTCCTCGGTCAATAGGCTGGCTTGCTGGAAGACCAACAACTGGATTCTGCACCATGCAACACAAGCGGCAGCACCCAGTCATAACTGCCAGACAATTTCTTCGACCACATCACTGGTTACATCTGGCCACAACCTCCCCAGACTGCAACTTTTTGACGATTATGTGTGAGGCGCGGTTGAGCGATAAACCAAGAAAACTCCTTATAACACAAAAGAACTGAAAGCAAGGATTATAGCAGCATCCATCAAGTTAAACAAAGAAACCCCCCAGAAGAGATGCAGGACATTCTGAAGTCTTCTGGAGGCTGATGCCAATGGCGACTTTATTGAATTAATTTATCTTTAATATTTCAAGATATTTTTGTGTAATTTTGGTAAATATATCTGTTAAAATTGAGATAACAATGTAATTTTAATTTTTGCGTAATTTAGACAAGAATTTATCCATCAAACCCTGCATATATATATATATATATATATATATATATATATATATATATATATAGGCAGCAATTTTTCATTAATGCATGTTTCATTGAATAATATAGACAAGTTTTGTCTATTTATTTTAAGTAAGTTCCTTTCATATTGTCTGATAAGCTTAATCACATTATCGTTGAAAGACGAAAGGAAAGCACCATATTGATACATGTTTAAATCCAATCTAAGCTTTCGGCTTACACAAGCCGTTATCAAAGATGACAATTTCATTAAATCAAACAACACACGGACGAAACAACAATGATAGTCCGCCCTTGCTGCATGAAAAATTTCAAAATAACGACAAATTCGTATACACACACACACACACACACACACACACATATTCGTAAAAACAATACGCTAGATTTAAGTACTTAACCCTGCCGAATGAAGATAGCTCAGTGACAGAACTCTAGCTAACACAAATCGTTTGGGTTTCAATCCTGGCTTCATGTATTCGGATATCTACGCGCACTGATGAGCTGTGATACAGCGAAATAGTACTGTCTGTGTATTATATTATCCTATATGATAGAGGAAAGGATGCAGAGAAGGATAGGGGATAGATCAAGGCATCTAGATATGTCGATTGACATTACATTTGAATAGTTGGAGATTATAGCTATCAGGGAAACAGGAAAAAGGAAGGGGGTTCCACAGGCGAGAAGTGCGAGACATGAAGCTATTCGAGTAGAAGAGACTGCTA